GAATTATTTTGGCTGCGCCTTCCCTAATACAGATGCATGTGATACTTAATCGTACATATATAATAATATTAGTTACCAAACAATAGAGTGTGCATAATATAAACAGTGAAATCGCTGATAAATAATATTTAAATCAACTTGTATTATACAGTGGGGAAAAGAGTTATTTGATCCCCTGCAGATTTTGTAAGTTTGCCCACTTACAAAGAAATCAAATGTCTATAATTTTTATCATAGGTGTATTTTAAATGATAGAGACAGTATATCAACCGAAAATCCAGAAAAAGCACGATACAAATGTTATAAAATAAGTATTTGATCCCCTATCAACCAACAATAATTCTGGCTCCCACAGACAGCTATGTGCTCATGTGTTACACAGGTAAGTGCTGTCAATTTAAGAAGGTGCTCCTAACGACAACTCGTTATGTGTATAAAAGACACTTGTCCACAGAATCTCTTTCTTCCATTCAAACCTCACCATCATGGGCAAATGACCAAAGAGCTGTCAAAGGACGTCAGGGACAAGATTGTAGACCTGCACAAGGCTGGAATGGGTTACAAAACCATCAGCAAGAAGCTTGGTGAGAAGGAGACAACTGCTTGTGAGAAGATTTTGCCTCATGGGGTAAGGGTAATCATGAGAAAAGTGAGGGATCAGCCCAGAACTACACAGGAGGAGCTTGTGAATGATCTCAAGGCAGCTGGGACCACAATCACCAAACAAACCATTGGTAACACAATTCGCTGCTATGGATTGAAATTATGGAGTGCCCGCAAGGTCCCCTTCCTCAAGAAGGCACATGTACAGGCCTGTGTGAAGTTTACCAATGAACATCTAAATGATTCAGAGAAGGATTGGGAGAAAGTGCTGTGGTCAGATGAGACCAAAATTGAACTCTTTGGCATTAAGTCGACTCACCGTGTTTGGAGGAAGAAAAATACTGACTATGACCCTAACAACACCATCCCTACAGTTGAGCATGGAGATGGAAACATTATGCTTTGGGGCTGTTTCTCTGCTAAAGGTTCAGGCCGACTTTGCTGCATTGTGGGGTCAATGGACAAGGCCAAGTATTGTAAAATCTTGGATGAGAACCTTCTTCTCTTAGCCAGAACACTGAAGATGGGTCGTGGATGGGTTTTGCAGCATGACAATACATACCGCCAAGGCAACAAAGGAGCAGCTCAAGAAGAAGCACATTAAGGTCATGGAATGACCTAGCCAATCTCCAGACCTTAATCCTATAGAAAATGTATGGAGGGAGCCAAAACGTTGAGTTGCCAAGCAATAGTCAAGAAACTTTAAGGATTTAGAGAAGATCGGTGGACCAAAATTCCTCCTGAGATGTGTGCAAACCTAGTAATCAACTACAAGAAACGTCTTATCTCTGTGCTTGCCAACAAGAGTTTCTCCACCAAGTACTAAGTCATATTTTGCTTGGGGATCAAACACTTATTTTACTCAATGAACTGCAACTCAATTTATAACATTTGTATCATGTGTTTTTTTTTCTGGATTTTTGATTGATATTCTGTCTCTATCATTTGATATACACCTATGATAACAATTATAGACCCTTCATTTCTCTGTGGGTGGGCAAACTTACAAAATCTGCAGGGGATCAAATAATTATGTTCCCCACTGTATCACATTAAATACAAAGTCCCAATTCATAAATCGTGATACTCTTCAAGCAATAAATTCCTTATAACTCTTTCCACCTTCTGTGCTGATATCTATATTCATACACAGTGACTCCCATCACCGTTCATAAATGTGCTCACCGTCAGGTGTGACCTGTAAAGCAGTTCAAAAACACCTTCCCCAGCCTAGGGGTAGATTTCCAAGCTGCTCTGCTGTATCTAGAATTCTTCCAGGACTCTTATGGTAGCCTCCCACTTGACAGGTCTATGGCTCTTTAAAACTTTGATCACCACTCTGCAATCAAACTCATTGCAACAGAGGATGTCCTCTTAGTGCAGTAGATAAAACTAATGCTAGTTTATTAAAAGTAATGTGCTTACAATTATAGAAAAATACCAGGCATAAAACTGACATACACTGGGGCCCCAGCTCCAACGTCACTTTCGGTCTTGGGATTCAGCAGGCTCCACCCAACACGTGTCGTCTCAATCACATGACTTCTTCAGGGGATGCCAATCAACCATGCCTCAAATAATTGAATGGCAAGCAGTTGCAGGGTGTTTATGGTGTGGCCCTGTTCAATTTAATGGGTCGCATTCATTGGTGATACAACCTGTCCAATGTTATGCGCCATTTAATTTTTGACCTGTCAGCGAAGCAAAGCATTGATGTTGCAGCATGTATATAGCCATGAGAGGCTGATTTGTGTGTAGGAGGGCTGTTTGGGGGTGGAAAAACTGTGGTTCAGCAGCCTGATCTTACTTCCCCTAGTCACCCATGTGAATGAATCATAACAAAATTTTTTTTTCATAGGCCTCATAAGTGCGGGGAGTATAGACCCATACTTCCATGCAGAGGTTGTGTGTATGTGCTCTGGAAATGACAGCTGTTGCTGCTGTATCCAGCTAGGCTGTCAAAATTAAAGTGGAATTCCAGGCACCACCAACTAATCTTTAAACTGCTCCCTCCCCTCCTAACACCTAATCTAACTAAGCTGAGCAAGAAAGATCTGTACACCTAATTTCAAGCAGCTCCACTCCAGCCACATATTCCAGCTCCCCTGTGTCAGCCAGTGTCCAGTTCAGGGGAGAGGAGACAACAGATGGACCATTGAAGCCTGTGTGTGACATCACCATTGTTGAACAGTTTCTCCTTTCACTTGCAGCATCACTCACTGACACAGGGGGAACCACATGACTGGACTGGAGTGGCCTGAAAATAGGTAAGTAGGTATTTGGGGGGGGGGGATTTTTAATAATAATGGTGGTGCATAGAATTCCACTTCAATTACCGCCTTACAGAAACAGCATCTGTATAGATCTTCAAGCATATGTCAGTGCTTACACTCATAAAGGAATGCAGGCACAGTTCTGGATGCAGAATATTTACATCCAAAGCTATGTGTCCATCCCTGTATGGATGTAAAACACTGGCATGTGCTGTCATTGATTTTTACAGGCTGATTGCCTGTAACAAAAAAGGGGCGGCGTGAAAAGAGATTCACAAAAGAGTGGTTACATTATGGACAGAATGTGATACAAAAAGTAGTTCCAAAAATCATGCTTTATTACACAATACACATGTGGACAATTAGGGTAAATACCCTGATTCACCATCACCTCAGTATGAGATAATACAAAAATAGACCTAAAATCACATAAAAACAGTATCAAGACCGGTGTTTGTAATAATGAGCTGCATACATACTGAGAAAGTACTGTCTAATATATTTGCAGCACCAGCACATTGGTTACACCACCATGTAGGGAGTGTATCAATAAATTATACCATATAGGCATGACATGCTTAGCAATAATGGCTGATATCAAGCACCAAGTAATAATGATATTATTACCCATAAACCTAACCAGGCAATGTGGTTGAAAAATAGTAAATACATATATAAGGATGCGGATGCGTCTATATTAACCAGATGAGGTATTGCAATAATTATGATTTAAGGCAAGAGTAGGTGGTGAAATATAAAATTGCAGTAGATATGTCCAAATTGCATGGATACAGAGTCAGTAATGAAAGAATCACCGTGGATTTCCTCAATATAATGGAGGTAGCAGGGCCCTGCTCCAAGGTGTTTCTTCACCGCAGCATGCGGGCTGTTAACCAGCTTAGTATTGATGTGATTGTGTAAATTGCTGGGTCCTCCGTATCTTGTAATAAATGTAGGGTGCCTTGCACCTATATAGTGAAACATACTGCCCCCATCCTGTAACAAATAGGTAACATATGGACAGTCAATAAATGTATATTCCTTGTAGTAAACATATTAAATGGCGGACATTCGCCTTATTCCTTTTTGCTGTGCAACAATTCACTCTCACCACCCAAAGCCATAGGTGAATCTCCTTCAGAGTTTCCTTCCCAAGCCATAGGTGAATCTCCTTCAGAGTTTCCTTCCCAAGCCATAGGTGAATCTCCTTCAGAGTTTCCTTCAGAGTTTCCTTCGTCTGAGTTACCAGGCGTAGTACCGGAGGCAGCAGCCACCATCAGGACTATTATCCGGTGGGTTCCACTCCTCCCTTGGTGCTTGTGCAGCCTTGCACCGCTCGCTGCAAAGCAAAATCCAAAAGCTCACTTATAAACTCATTTTGCCCTCCTATTTTAGAATATGATTTATCAAGGAAAAATGAAGCCGATCTAAGTCCACATTCATGTGGAATAGATGTATATAATGATTCAACATCCACTCCAACCAAAATGGAATTTTCATCTATTCTCAAATTCTCAATTTTTGCTAATACATCTTTGGTATCTGTCATTCTCTGTATAAACACGACCCTCTGCACGGAGGTATGGGTCTATGCACCAGTGTGAATGAATCATTATAGGATAGTTCTCTTTGAATTTTTTTTAACATAGTGAGTAGCAACAGGGTCTCTTTAAATACTGAATATTCTTCAGAAAAAAACATTTGCTTAAAAACAAACCAGCTATCTATTTGGTTCAACTCATCCAATTATTTCCATGTATGCAAACTGTATTCATACAGCGTTTTTATTTAAATACAAAGCCGTCCACAGGAAACATTATCTGAGCAGAATCAGCAGAACTTCAGACATGACACATCTCCTGTGGTTACTTGTCATTGTGTCTTTAGTACAATGTGTGTTACTTTTCATTTATTTTACTTATTTGAAAGTTTGCTCAAACTAAGCTATAGGATGAAGTATATAACAGGATATAATATATATTTTTTTCAGATGTCACATCATCACAAGTCTCTATGATAGAGTAGTCTGGTCCTGGGACAGTGAAGCCATCAGAGACTCTGGAACTGACCTGTAAAGTGACCGGAGCCTCCCTCACTGACAGCTCTAAACATGTACTGTGTGAACTGGAGCCGACAATCTGAAAGGAAACAGATGGAGTGGTTGGGAAGAATATGTTATGGTGCAAGCACAGCTTATGCCAACTCTGTTCAGGGACGACTGACTCTGTCCAGAGATACAAATAAAGGAGAAGTGTTTTTAAAACTCAGTGGAATGAAACCTGAAGAATCCGGAACATATTATTGTATAAGAGAGAGACACATGGTATCAAATCAATTAACAACATGTACACAAACTATTTTACATTAGAAAAAAGGCATGGCTACAGACGAGTTTAATTAACCTCCCTGGCGGTATTCCCGAGTGTAGCTCGGGGTAAAATTTCAGTACCAAGAGCGGTAACCCCGAGCTACACTTGGGCTTACCATGCGGTGTTGCTCAGGGAGTCCCTGCAGCGCTTACCTTGTCCTTCGCTCCCCAATCCCGCGATGTGTCCCATGCAGCATCCCCGGCCATCTCCTCCGGCCGATGCCGGCATTTCCGGCTACCGTGTTCCGGTCCCTGTGACGTCGGGCGGCAAATTTGAAATTTTTAAAAAATGTCATTTTTTAAAAAATGATTATTATATGTAAAACATTGCTGTTTCAATGCATTTTCACATATATTTTGTCCCTACTGCTTTGTCCTGTGCCCTGCCTACATTTTGACTGTTCTTTCTGCCTGGAAACTTAGAAAAGTCCATGGCGTCCAAAAAAGCGTCCCTTTATGTCAAAATCGGTTTTTAGACCAGCTAGAGAACAGCGATAGTAAATCAGAACCACTTGCAGAATTGAGTGATAATGATTCGTGGGAAATTCCTCATCAGACACTGAAAACGATTTTGCGACTTTTGCTCAGCGATGTGCGAATGTGCCTCTGTATTTCAAATTTCAGTGTTTTTGGTTTGATTATATTTAGAGATGAGCGAAGAAATGAAAAATTCGATTCGACTGATTCGGCGAATTCGTGGACAATATTCGATTCGAGTCGAATAAATTCGCTGTGAATTTAACTTAAAAAAGGGTTTTCTAGGCTTCAGAGAGACTTAATATTAGTGCAGAACACTGTACCTTTAATTTAAATGCCCTTGGAGTCTGCTGGGGAAGAGAAATAATACTGTCACTCAGTTATGACATGCAGATGAGTGCCGTCGATCTTAGAATCACCGCACACTTCACTCATTTGGCCAGTCACGGGCCAAAACCAGTGTTTGGAGCCACAGTGTGGCGGTGGAGGCAGCAGCAATGGGAGGCCATTACAGCAACCTATGACAAAATGGAAACCAGCAGGAGTGTGAGGAGACCTCAAGTGGCACATGGCAGAGTGGGGAGCAATGGGAGGCGGTACAGGGACCCAGGTCACACTGTGGGCCCAGCAGGCAGCGTGACCAGCGGTACGGGGGCCCAAGGCAGATTTGGGGCCTGGCAGCACCTATGGGAGGCCTGTAACCTGCCAGCAACCTATGACAAAATGGAAAACCGCAGGAGTGTGAGGAGACCTCAAAGTGGCACATGGCAGAGTGGGAGCAATGGGAGGCGGTACAGGGACCCAGGTCACACTGTGGGACCAGCATCAGCGTGAACAGGCGGTACGGGGGCCCATGGCCGATTTGACCTCGTTCATCCCATAGTCCCTTGCCGACTCACGAATAGCGTGGCCTCCCTCAAAGGGCCTGAGCAAGCGCAGGTGTCACGCATGAGCTGACAATGGCTGACATCTAAGTTACACAGGGAGTACCTTTATCCGCTTTTAACATCAGGAAATCTGTGATAGCCTTTCGCTGTTCGTAAAGGCGGTCTAACATATGTAGGGTTGAATTACACCTTGTTGCAACGTCACAGCATGAGGAGTCGGTACGGGGGCCCATGGCAGATTACGTGCCTGGCAGCAGCAATGGGAGGGCCCGTAATCTGCCAGCACCCTATGTCAAAAAATTGAACACAAACCAGCAGTGTGAGGAGACCTCAAAGTGGCACATGGCAGAGTGGGAGCAATGGAGGCGGTACAGGGACCCAGGTCACACTGTGGGCTCAGCAGCAGCGTGACCAGGCGGTACACAAAGGGGCCCATGGCCGATTTGGGCCTGGTGGCACCTATGGAAGGCCTGTAATGCTGCCAGCAACCTATGACAAAATGGACAACCGCAGGAGTGTGAGGAGATTTCAAAGTGGCACATGGCAGAGTGGAAGCAATGGGAGGCCGTACAGGGACCCAGGTCACACTGTGGGACCAGCAGCAGCGTGACCAAAGGCGGTACGGGGGCCCATGGCCGATTTGGGGCCTGGCGGCACCTATGGAAGGCCTGTAATCTGCCAGCAACCTATGACAAAAATGGACAACCGCAGGAGTGTTGAGGAGATTTCAAAAGTGGCACATGGCCAGAGTGGAAGCAATGGGAGGCCTTACAGGGACCCAGGTCACACTGTGGGCTCAGCAGCAGCGTGACCAGGCGGTACGGGGGCCCATGGCCGATATGGGGCCTGGCGGCACCAATGGAAGGCCTGTAATCTGCCAGCAACCTATGAACAAAATGGAAAACCGCAGGAGTGTGAGGAGATTTCAAAGTGGCACATGGCAGAGTGGAAAGCAATGGGAGGCCGTACAGGGACCCAGGTCACACTGTGGGCTCAGCAGCAGCGTGACCAGGCGTAAGTACGGGGGCCCATGGCCGATATGGGGCCTGGCGGCACCTATGGAAGGCCGCTAATCTGCCAGCAAACCTATGACAAAATGGAAAACCGCAGGAAGTGTGAGGAGACCTCAAAGTGGCACATGGCAGAGTGGGAGCAATGGGAGGCGGTACAGGGACCCAGGTCACACTGTGGGCTCAGCAGCAGCGTGACCAGGCGGTACGGGGCCCATGGCCGATATGGGGCCTGGCGGCACCTATGGAAGGCCGCTAATCTGCCAGCAACCTATGACAAAATGGAAAACCGCAGGAGTGTGAGGAGACCTCAAAGTGGCACATGGCAGAGTGGAAGCAATGGGAGGCCGTACAGGGACCCAGGTCACACTGTGGGCTCAGCAGCAGCGTGACCAGGCAGTACGGGGGCCCATGGCCGATATGGGGCCTGGCAGCACCAATGGAAGGCCTGTAATCTGCCAGCAACCTATGACAAAATGGACAACCGCAGGAGTGTGAGGAGATTTCAAAGTGGCACATGGCAGAGTGGAAGCAATGGGAGGCCGTACAGGGACCCAGGTCACACTGTGGGACCAGCAGCAGCGTGACCAGGTGGTACGGGGGCCCATGGCCGATATGGGGCCTGGCGCACCTATGGTAGGCCGCTAATCTGCCAGCAACCTATGACAAAATGGAAAACCGCAGGAGTGTGAGGAGACCTCAAAGTGGCACATGGCAGAGTGGGAGCAATGGGAGGCGGTACAGGGACCCAGGTCACACTGTGGGCTCAGCAGCAGCGTGACCAGGCGGTAAGGGGGCCCATGGCCGATTTGGGCCTGGCGGCACCTATGGAAGGCCGCTAATTCTGCCAGCAACCTATGACAAAATGGAAAACCGCAGGAGTGTGCGGAGACCTCAAAGTGGCACATGGCAGAGTGGAAGCAATGGGAGGCCGTACAGGGACCCAGGTCACACTGTGGGCTCAGCAGCAGCGTGACCAGGCGGTACGGGGGCCCATGGCCGATATGGGGCCTGGCGGCACCAATGGAAGGCCTGTAATCTGCCAGCAACCTATGACAAAATGGACAACCGCAGGAGTGTGAGGAGATTTCAAAGTGGCAAACATGGCAGAGTGGAAGCAATGGGAGGCCGTACAGGGACCCAGGTCACACTGTGGGACCAGCAGCAGCGTGACCAGGCGGTACGGGGGCCCATGGCCGATATGGGGCCTGGCGGCACCTATGGAAGGCCGCTAATCTGCCAGCAACCTATGACAAAATGGAAAACCGCAGGAGTGTGAGGAGACCTCAAAGTGGCACATGGCAGAGTGGGAGCAATGTGAGGCGGTACAGGGACCCAGGTCACACTGTGGGCTCAGCAGCAGCGTGACCAGGCGGTACGGGGGCCCATGGCCGATATATAGGGCCTGGCGGCACCTATGGAGGCCACTAATCTGCCAGCAACCTATGACAAAATGGAAAATGCTGCCGCAGGAGTGTGAGGAGACCTCAAAGTGGCACATGGCAGAGTGGGAGCAATGGGAGGCGGTACAGGGACCCAGGTCACACTGTGGGCTCAGCAGCAGCATGACCAGGCGGTACGGAGGCCCATGGCCGATTTGGGGCCTGGCGGCACCTATGGAAGGCCTGTAATCTGCCAGCAACCTATGACAAAATGAAAACAACCGCATGAGTGTGAGGAGACCTCAAAGTGGCACATGGTAGAGTGGGAGCAATGGGAGGCCGTACAGGGACCCAGGTCACACTGTGGGCTAGCAGCAGCGTGACCAGGTGGTACGGGGGGTCTATTGGCGATTTGGGGCCTGGCGGCACCTATGGGAGGCCTTTAATCTGCCAGCAACCTATGACAAAATGGAAAACCGCAGGAGTGTGGAGGAGACCGCTCAAAGTGGCACATGGTAGAGTGGGAGCAATGGGAGGCCGTACAGGGACCCAGGTCACACTGTGGGCCTAGCAGCAGCGTGACCAGGTGGTACGGGGGCCTATTGGCGATTTGGGGCCTGGCGGCACCTATGGGAGGCCTTTAATCTGCCAGCAACCTATGACAAAATGGGAATGGAGTGTGGAGGAGAAAAAGGGCACAATGGAGGCCGGTACTCAAGCAGTGGGGCTAGTGTGACCAGGAAACGGGGCCCATTGGCGATTTTGGGGCTGGCGGGCATCCTAAGTGGCACATGGCAAAAAGCAGCAGAGTGTGGGAGAAGCAATGGGGTGGAAGCAATGGGAGGCCGTACAGGGACCCAGGTCACACTGTGGGCCCAGCAGCAGCAGCGTGACCAGGCGGTACGGGGGCCCATGGCCGATTTGGGGCCTGGCGGCACCCTATGGGGAGCCCGTAATCTGCCAGCACCCTATGACAAAATGGAACCCTGGGCTGGGGCACGGCAGAAACCGCAAGTTATCTTATCCATCGTTTTTGAACTCAGGCCACCTGAATGTGCGATCGCTGCACGGCTATATGCTGACGCAACGCTGTGAGTTCCCAACATGGGCCCCCCTGGCCACGCTTGACTTTATGGCACATAGTCGGACATACGGCTACGTTTAGATTCCTCGGGAGGCTTGACGAAAAAATTGCCACAACCGCAGAGTAGGACATGAGAGATTTCTGCCTCAGCTACTCCTCTCTGGCTTGACTGCTACTTCCTTCCGTGCACAACGGCTCCACTACTGGCGTGGTATGGTAGGCTGCAGTGGAGCTGGTGCCTCTACTCCATGAGCCGTTTGCCATCAACTGACACTGCATGCAGACCCTGCTGCTCCTGAGAAGCAGCACAATGGGAGGCGTACAGGGCCATGAGAGGACTCTGCACTTGGCGCGCAGCATGAGGAGGCGGTACTGGGGCCATGAGCAGGATTACGGGGCACTGGCAGCAGACAATGGATGGCCGTAATCTGCCAGCACCCTATGTCAAAAAATTACAACACAACTGCAGTTGTGAGGAGACCTGAAAAGTGCGCACGATGGCAGAGTGTGGGATGGAGACTAGCAGCATAATGGGAGGCGTTCAGGGGGGAAACTATGCGAGGACTCTGGGACTTGGCTCTGCAGCATGAGGAGGCCGAGTCTATAGGGGCCCATGGCAGATTTTAGGGGCCTGGCAGAAAGTCGTATGGGAGGCCTCGTAATTGCCAAGCACCCTATGTCACAAAAATTGAAAAAACATCTAGCAGTGTGATGGAGACTGAAAGTGGCACATGGCAGAGTGTGGCGATGGAGACAGCAGCATATGGGAGGCCGTACTAGGGACCCATGAGAGACTCTGGAATTGGCAGACAGCGATGAGGAGGCTGGGTCATATAGGGGCCATGGCAGATTAGGGGCCTGGCCAGCAAGCTCATGGGAGGCCCGTAATCTGCCAGCACCCTATGTCAAAAAAAGTTGAAACACAAGCAGTGTGAAGAGACATGAATGTGGGCACATGGCAGAGTGTGGCGATGGAGACAGCAGCAATGGCGAGGCCGTACAGGGACCCGATGAGAGACTTCTGGACTTTGGCACAGCATGAGGAGGGGAATGGGCCATGGAGATTAGGGGTGGCAGCAGCTATGGGTAGGGCCGGAATCTGCTGACCCTATGAAAAAAAATGTTAAAACACCAGCAGGTGAGGGAGATGAAAGTGGCACATGGCAGAGTGTGGCGATGGAGCCAGCAGCAATGGGAGGCGTACAGGGGACCTGAGAGACGTGGATTGGCATAGCAGCATAGGATGGCTTGGGTATCTAGGGGCATGGCAGTTAGGGGCCTGGCGAGAGCTTATAGGAGGCCCCGTAATCTGCTCAGCACCTATGTCAAAAAATTCAAAAACCCCCAGCAGTGGGAGACCTAAAAGTGGCACATGGAGAGTGTGGCGATGGAGGAAGCAGCAATGGGAGGCCGTACAGGGCCCCATGAAGACTCTGGACTTGGCAGCAGCATGAGGGGCGGTAAAAGGGGCCATGCAGATTAGGGGCCTGGAAAGCGCTTGGAGGCCCGAAAATGCCAGCCCCCCTATGTTAAAAAATTAAACACCGCAGTGTGAAGAGACCTAAATGGGCACAGGGCAGAGTGGGCGATGGAAAACACAATGGAGGCCGTACGGGGCCCCATGAAGACTCTGGACTTGGCAGCAGATGAGGGGGGCGGTAAAAGGGGCCCATGGAGATTAGGGGCCTGGCAGCAGTTTATGGGAGGCCCGAAATTGCCAGCCCCTATGTAAAAAAAATTTTTAAACACAACAGCGGGTTTTGAGGAGCCTAAAAGTGGCCCGGGCAGATGGGGCGATGGAAAAGACAATGGGAGGC